AAATTAAAATTTTTGTAGAATTATCATGCTGTCAAGCCGAAATAAACAGAATGTATGGTTTTTATAAATGCCTTACCAGCTGATAAAATTTTATGTTTGTAAAATTACTATAATATGTTGTACTGATACAAAAGAGATTTTAAAAACTCCTCCAAAAGGACAGGATTGTGGGAAAAAGACTTTTGTTGTAAGGGATAGCTCTCTGGGAAGCAGAGGAGATGTATTAGGAAATGTAGCGAATATAAAAACAAAAGAGAGCTATGACTTTTTTTTTAATGGAATGGAAGAAGAGAGACTAGAAGCAGGAAGGCTGTTTAATTGTGCAGGCAAGACCAGATAAGGACCTTAATGAGGGTGGGGGTGGGCTGGTCTCAAGGTCTCAGGACAGCTGGACAGAGAACAGAGGCAGGTTCTGGTCATGGGGGGGTCCGGGTGGGGGAAGTGGCATGCGGGGGAGACAGGAGGTAGGGAGTCAGATCAGAGCCATGAGAACAGATGGAAAGGGTAGGGACTATTTATCCAGGAGAAGATAAAATACAGTGGATTTACTACACCAAGGTTATCCTAAGGGGAAGGTTGGCCAGCTGTTCCCCACGCTCACAGAGTGGGGGTGGGGAGTGGCTTAGACTGCAGTGGGAGGGAGGGAGCGCAGACACAATCAGAACAGTGGGAGAATGTTGAATAACTACAGAACATCAGAGCTTGTAGGACCTTAGAGAGCATTTACTCTGACTCCTTTCAAAGATGAGTACATTGAGGCCCAGAAGGGGAAGTAACTTACTGAAGGTTATACAATGAGATGGTGGCAGGGCCAGAGCTAAAACCAGGTGTCTCCTATTCCAAAGCTCATTGCTCTGCTCATTACATTTCACCTTATTGCCTTCTATAGGGTTTAAACTCTTTATTCATTGCCCTCCCCAAGTTGGCCTTGCATCCCTCCTGTAGGGGAGTAATTGCACCCCATAAAAATAATACTATGGGGGCAGCTAGGTGGTGCAGTGGATAGAGCACTGGCCTTGGAGTCAGGAGGACCTGAGTTCAAATCCAGCCTCAGACACATAACACTTACTAGCTGTGTGACCCTGGGCAAGTCACTTAAGCCCAATTGCCTCACCCAAAAAACAAACAAATGAGTAATAACACTACGGCCTTAATTTCAAAGATCTTTGGAGGAAATCTATTGAGCCCAGAAAAATTCAAGGAAAGTGTTATGCTTTTGGCAGAATTTCCATACTTCTGCCCAGGGAGACATTCTCCCTCTCTACCTGTTCCATTCGCCAGCCTGACAAACCTGTGCTTAAATCTGGCCTCTCACTAGCTGTGTTTCTGGGGCCTCAGCAGTGCGATGGAGACAATAACAGCGCTTACCTCACTTACCCTGAGCCTCAGTTTCCTCCTCTGTAAGATGAAGATTATAGCATTTGAACTATTTATTTGACTGGAGTGTTAAGTGGAAAGCACTTTGTAAACTTTTAAACATAACAAAGATGTGAGTTCTCAGAGTCAGAAAATCAGAGAATCTCGGAAAGACCTCAGAGAGCATCTAGTTCATGTGTCTTCAGCTCTCCGATGGGGCTGGGCTAGGTCTGCTCTTGTTATCCCCAAGGCTGGGCCCCGCACCCCGTGGTGCTGCCCCACACACAGACAATGCCTGGGCTCTGTGCCCTTGGGGGAGGCGGAGAGGGAGCCTAGGACAGACAGTGGCAGCTGCAGGCCTATCTATAGCTCTCTGTGCCCTTCAATTGTTGTTTCCAACTTCAAACAATAGTCGGACAGAGGATTAGGACCCTCTCCCAGGCCCCTCCCCCACCAAGTGAAATGAATCCCAAAGGGCCACCCCCACCATGGCCTGCTGTGTGAGGCCCCCAAGGAGTCTGGGGCCTGGGACATCTCTGACCACGTGGGATATCCCTAACAGGTTAGAAGGGCCCTGGAGAGAGAGAGGCTAGACCCCAGCATTAAGTCAAGGGTGAGCCCTCTGCGGGGCTGGAGAGCAGCCTAAAGTGGAAGATGGATGTGCATTGCTGAAGGGAGCAGGGGAAAGAGATATGGCTAATGGCCGGGTTGGGGGAACGTCAGAGGGCATAGACCGTCAGAAGGAGGAAACTCAGAGTATAGAACGCCAGACTGTCAGAGCTAGAAAGAAGCTCCGTATACAGAATACAGGATGTCAAAGTCTGGAGGTGCTTAGAATGTCAGCGCTGAAGAGAACTTTGGATCACAGAACATCAAATGTCAGAACCGTTTAGAGACTAGATGGTAAAATCCTCTCATTTTATGGAGAAGGAAACTGAGTGTCAGGAAAGGGATATGACTTTCCCAAGGTCATAGAGCAAAGGCTGAGACTCGAAACCAGATCTTCTCACTCCCAGACCAGGACTCTTTTGTATTATATCATAATGAGGTTTTGGTGAAGGGGAATTGGCTGGCAAGTGTGGGGAAGCAGGTAGGGATGAGGGATTATAGAAAAGGAGTCAGGCTTTGGTGTGTTCTGCAGCTGGAAATGGGGTAATAATAATAATAATAATAATAATAATAATAATAATAATAAATACCTAGAATTTCTGTAGCATTTTTAAGGTTTGCAAAGCTCTTTACATAGGTTTTCTCATTTGAACCTCACAATCCAGTGAGGGGGGTGCTCTTATTACCCCCATATTACAGATGAGAAAACTAAGGCCAAAAGAGGTATAAATGACTTGCCCCACAACACCCAATCTAGTAAGTGTCTGAAGCAGGATTTAAACTCAGGCCTGAAAGTCCAGATCTAACCTAGAGACTGCAAATCCTTGGGAAGAGGGAGTGTGTCTTAATTTTGAATCTTCCTCAGCAAGAAGCACAGAGCTTGGCACATAATAAACACTTAATGGTGTTTCACTGAATGAATGAATTATAAGGATTGGATCATGGGGTCCATGGTCTAGGGGTATGGTCTAAGAGAGTAGGACTGTAAGCTACAAGTAGACAGAGGCTATAGAGCAGGATAATGGGTCCGCTTTAGGGTTAGGGATGGTATATGTATATATGTCAGTCAGTCTATGTTTATTAAGCACTTACTGTATGTGCCAAGCACTTTGCTAAATTCTGGGGATACAAAGGCAAAAACAGCCCCTGTCCTCAAGGAGCTTATATTCTATTCTAACGTGTAAATAACTAGGTCCCTACCAGATGGCAGGTAATCTCAAAGAAGGAGGCATGAGCCATTGTTGAGGGAGGGAAGATTAGGAAAAGCCTCAGAGAGAATGTAGGATTTGAGCTGAATCTTAAAGGGAAGCCAAGAGGCAGAGGTGAGGAGGCAGAACACTCCAGAAACTGAGGACTGCCAATGAAAAGGCCTGGAAGTGGAAAATGGACAGCAAGAAGGCACGGACTATAGAGTGAAAGAAAAGGTAAGTGGAAAGGTGGGAAAGGGCCAGATTGGGAAGGGCTTTACATGCCAAATGGAGCGTTTTACACTTGATCCTGGTCCATGGGACAGACAATCTATTCCTATATTTCTTGTCCTCTGAGTCATATCTGGCCAATGAGCTGACCATGTTAGGAGACACGGAAGCATGTTGGACCTCTGTGAAGACCTGCCCCTGGCCTGTTGAGAGCAAATCATATCCCTAGCAGCCTAACATGGCAGAAAGAACCCTGAATAAGCAATCAGAAGACTTTGGTTTTAGTCCTGGCTTTACTACTGAATTTCTGGATAACCAATGCAGCGCTTACTTAGCTGGCACACAGTAGGGGCTTAATAGACGCTTGCTGACTTGACCAAGGATACATCCTGCTGGGTCTCAGATTCCCTAGATGTGAAATGAGGACAAGAAGTATTGTCCTGATTCTCTCACAAGGCTGCATAGAGAACAAATAAGAAAATGTGTTGGAAAGTGTTTTATAACTGAAGAGTGACCACCAAGCCAGGAAGGAGTAGTATTTCTGAGTTCCAGATGGTCAATGGAAAAGTACTTGATTTGTACCTAGTTTCCTGTACCTGGGGCTTGTGTTAGGCCCTGTGAGGAGGCCCAGCAGGAGACCAAACAATCTCTGCCCCTGGGAACTCACAGTTTGGTTAATGGTACAAGAGTCATCCACCATGTGGAAGACAGGACAAGATGGAGAGAGCAGCACACAGTCAGGAAATTTCAGTTCGAATACTACCTCTCTGGGAGTTAAGATTACCTTTGTGACCTGGTACAAGCCATGTCACCTCTTAAGACTCAGTTTCTCCTTTATAAATCAAGTGAGATATTTGCAAAGTGCTTAGCCCAGTGCCTGGCACATAGCAGGTACTTAATAAAAAATTCCTGTTCCCTCTCCTTCCCTTAAAATGAGGAGGTAGGCCTGAGTAATTTCTAAAGTACCTCCCAGTCCCAAATCTTAAGACCCTTTTTTTTAACCCTTCATTTTTTCTAGCTTTTCTAGTGGGAAAAGCACTGGATTTGGAGTCTGAAGACCTAGGTTCAAATCCTGGCTCTGCTACTTATTACTGGTAGTGTGACCTTCTTGTGCCAGTCACTTAATCTCATTAGGCTTCAGTTTTCTCATTTGTAGAATGGAGGAGGGTTAGGTTTGATGACCCCTTAAGTACCTTCCAACCCTAAATCTATGATCCTCTGCACGAGCCCTAAGGTGGGACTCAGGAATGCCTGGGCTCCGTACCCACTCTGCCAATTGGGTTTCCTCTACGATTTGAAGTTGGATTTATTGATCTCTTAGGGCCCTCCAGTTCTTATTTCCCATGAAACAATTACACAAGCAAGGCAAGACAGGAAAGCCTAGACCCAAGCATTCCATTTCAGGCTACAGGGAGTATGTGAAAAGTAATAGGGAGGTAGCAGGTTCCCAGAGTAATCAAGGCAGGCTTCCCAAAGGAATGGACTTCGTAGAAATGAGCTCTGACTTTCTCTCCCCAGGCCTCAGGCTCACACTGGTTCTCTCCAGCCAGTTATTATTCCCTAACCCCACCCCCCATCTCCACTCCTCCCCAGTGGCTATTCTTGGGCCAGAGATAAGGCCCTTCCAGCTGCTTCGGTTTGTCTCTGTCTACTCCCGGAATCACCCCAGCCCGGGATAAGGGGCTGGAGCCACCCAAGGCCCACAGGCCGGTGGGGGGTGGGGTCGAGAGGGTCCTATCTGCAGGCCTGCTTTGTGCTCTGCTCCTCTCCAATGACACATGGGCTAAGCAAGACAGGTATGTAGTGGGCGTCTGTCTGGCAGGCAACTAATATGCATGGGGCAAGGACAGCAATATTCTCTTTCCTTGGGGCCCCAGGCTGGGGACTCAGACACCCGACTCCCATGCAGAGAACCAGACTAGACACTTTTAAAGTCCTTTACAGCTGTAAATCCTAGGATTCTGTGACTCTTCTAGGCCACAAGGCCAAGGCTGGAGACTCCACACAGGAGCAGGGGGGTAAACTGAGCTTTCTGCCCCACAAAGAATACAACTCAGCAGTTCCCAAACTGTCTCTGATAAACGGGTGGAAGGAGTTTTAGGGGGCTCTGATATTCCAGGGGAAATGTCCTAGATGTTCTGACACTTTGGGGAAGGTTAAAGTTTGGGGGAGCCCTCATAGAATGGGTGTTTGGGGGCTAACCCTAGGAAGGAGTCATCAAAAGTGCTCTGACGTTTCAGGGGGAGTTGAGTGCGGTGTGTTACAGTTAAAAAAAAAAGCAGTGGATAGAGCACCGGCCCTGGATTCAGGAGGACCTGAGTTCAAATCTAGCCTCAGACATATAACACTTACTAGCTGTGTGAGCCTGAGCAAGTCACTTAACCCCATCGCCTAACCCCCCCCACCAAAAACCCCTTACTCCAGAGTCTGAGAACCTGAGTTCAAATTACACTTCTGACCCTTACTCTCTGTGTGACCTTGGGTAAATTGATTATTCTTCTTGGTCATGGGTTGGGGAGTGTTGGGGATAGATGGCATCTGAGGTCCTTTCTAGCTCTGGATCTATAAGCTCCATCTGTGAAGTTCACAGCAGGACCACCTAGGTTAGTCTCATCTGGGACAGAGGCAGTGCCATGCTAAGGATCCAAGAATGTCCACCCCCGGGGAACCAGCCCCAACTGTGCCCTCTCCGTAGACACAAAACTCATACGCCAAGACTATGGTACAGAAAGAGGCCAGTGACACAGAACAGACGGGGGTCTTTTAGCTTTTATTGGACGCTTGTTTTTTTCCAAATCCCAGGAAGCATTCCCCTGACCCCCACAGGATCCTCCAGTCCATCCCCAGGGTATTACTGCAGGACAGAAAACTTTGAGGGGATTAAAAGGTTGGATGGCCTAGGTCTGTGTCTGTTTTCATGCGAAAATGTTTTTTATGTATGTGCTCATGCTGAAGTATTTGAGATGACTTTTCTATGTGTATGTTCATGTCTGTAAGTGCCTGTGTGTCTGACCATTCATAACAAGGCTTCAGGCTTGCACACCCTTGTGTGGGACCCAGGTGTAGCTGAGGTGGCTGAAGGACCCTTGCTTCACCAGGGTCTGCGTGAATGAAAGGCTGAGGAGGGCCCCAGTATCCTGGTGTGGGCTGGCCTGCCTCTGTAGTTCCGTAATATGCCTGGCACACATGAGTCTTAAGCCACAGCTGTCTGGCAGAGTCAGGCCTCAATGAGAAGGAACTCATCAGTTCCCCGATGTCCTTCCTCTCTTCTGTGTCCATCCTCCAATCATTTTGTCTGTGGTGGGCAGACAACAGACCCTGGGGGGAGTTGCATGGCATGGACTCTGTGGCCTCCGGGAGAGAGAAGAGCGCTATGGGGCCCAGCTGCCCACAGTTACAGCTAGCAGGGTGCTCTGTGCTTGGGGCCCCCAGGGCCTCAGAGATGGGAGTGAGGCTGGACTCCCACAGCAGCTTGCTTCTGTCCACGACCCCTGTGGATCCCTCCCCGTCAGGGGATACTACCACATCCCAAGGATTCTGGTCCCTGTCTGTGCTGCTCATATTGTCTCCCTCTAGGAAGCATGGCATGCTGTCTGGGAGGATTTCATTCTCCAAAAGGGCATCTTCTGCCTCTGATGGGGGGCGGCCCATGATTTGCAGCAGAGGGCCTTCAGTCTTGGGCAGGAAAGGCTGGCTGTTCTTGGACCCTAGAAAGCGTCCAAAGCAAAAGCTCAGGATGTTCTGGATGCTGATGTCCATTTCCCAGGGGCTGGGGGCCCACATTCATGGGCGGGCACAGAGATGGACCTGATCCTCCAAGGGGGAAGAGGAGGAGGGAAATTCTTTTTTTTTTTTTTTGTAGTGAAGCTCTTGGACAAAGAGGTTTGGAACTACACAAGGAGCTGCCTCAAGGGTGAAGGCCCAGGCTGAGGGGATTTGACTTTCCTGTTGGACATTAAATATTCATGCCCCTGGGGGTGAGGGGAATGGTTTCCAGTCTTCTTAGTGAATCAGGTTTCTTTAAATCTGGGTGCTGGTGGCCAGATGTGTAGGCCTGGCCTGGCCTGTGGTTTCAGGGTCTTGTTGTCTGACTCAGCTGCCCCTGGGCCAGGGGTGGTCCTGACCCTACTTGGACTGAGCAGGCAACGTCCAGGACTCTCTTGGACTCAACAGCTGGTGATGGTGTGTGGGGCCTGGAGGGATGGATGGATGGATGTTCAGTTCCAGATCCAGACTACCACCGAGTGGCCACCAGATGATCACAAGGGCAGGGGGATATCTGACAGCCTCTCCCAGGCCCTGGGCAGAGGGACTGGGACAGCTTCCCTGCGGGAGAGAGGTGGGATTGGAGAGGACAGGGTACCTTGGTATTCTCAGGGTCCTGGCTGGCTAAGGGTAGGGATTGTCCCCATAGGAAATGAAGCCAGAGTACTGACTGGGGTTTTGCCTACAAGGTAGAGGGAAAGGAGACCTCTATTTTTCTGCCCTGTTTCAGTCACTTACTATTCTAATTCCCTCACTAATTTCCCAAGTAGGGACACTCTCATAGCCCAGGAGATAAGTCCTGAGCTTCTCTCTCTCTCTTTCTCTATCTCTCTCTGTATCTCTCTGTCTCTGTCTCTCTCTGTCTCTCTGTCTGTCTGCCTGTCTCTCTCTCTCTCACACACACACTCTCCAGTGGAGGAATGGAGGCAAGATGGTTCAGTTGACTCACCTGCGTAATGTTTACAGCTAGTTAACCAATCCAGGCCTCCTTGATGCCTTGGGACACCAGAAGGAAGTCTCTAATACAGGTATCAAGTATCCCCTTGGAAGAAAGGGATGTCTCCCCATGGTTGTGTTAGGAATCATCACTGGGAAGAGTGCTGAATTTGCAGTCATCAAGAAGGTCTGGCTTGAATCCCAGCTCCAGCATAACTGGCTGTGTGACCCTTAACCTCTGAACCCCAATTACTCAATATGCAAAAAATAGTAGGTAGGGAATAATGCCTATATTATCTACTTTACAGGTTTGTTGGTAGGAATGCTGCACTTTGTTATCTTCAAAGTGCTCTGTGTGTGCCTGTGCCCTTGTGTGAGAATTATTATTTTTCCTGGACTTCAGTATTTGGGTTTCTTGAGCAGAACATTATGCAGGCCAGTTGGAATCTTCCAGGTGGGGACTGGGAGCTCACTCCTGGGTATTTCCTGCCTCTTTGTCCCAGAGCCATCCTGGGCCCATCTCCTCCTCCCTCCTTGGGTCCTTGGTGACAACACAGCATAAATAACACTACCCCCTAGACAGAATGAAACTAAATTGAGTTTGGGAAGAGGCTGAATGTTGGAAGGGGGGGGGCTAGTCTCTTGAACCATCCTTACCCCCAAAAAGTGTGTAGGAGACCTGGGCCGAGCTCTGGGAAGTCCCCTCCCTATCCCAGGGCCCTCCTACGAGTCTCGAGTTTTCATCCTGCTCCCCGGGAATGCTGTGACTTTTCAGTGTCCTCCAGGAGCCGTGCCCCCTGCCCTGATCCATCGTCTGGGCAGCTCCTCCTCCCCAAACCCTCCCTAAACCCTCCCCAAGCCCTTTTATTCACCTGCAGAGTCTGGCGCCGCCCGGGGTTCTGGTCCTTACCGGCATTGTGGGGGGTCTCAATGCCGGTGTCGACGTCACAGCAGTCCCGGCCCCTCCCCCAGCCCACTGTGAGCCAAGCTCTGGTCCATCCCTCCCACACCCACGCCTCTAGGGGTGCAGTGACGCCCCTTTCCCGGCCGGAAAGGAAGAAAGCCCAGGCGCACAGCCCCCCTGCCTCGCGCTGACCTTCACGGGACTCCTCGGCCCCCCCCCCCCCGCCAAGGCAAAAGAAGACTGGAGATCGAAGACCCCCGTAGCTTTAGTCTCTGGGTGAGGGAAGGGCTGGACTGAGCACCTACAACCTTACCCCCGTCCCATGGGATCAAGTTCCAAATCACGTGTAGGGATGGATAAGGCATGATGTGAAAGCGGCTTTTCGTGGAGACCAAATTAAGCAGCTGGATTCTGGCGGTACTATCTTGTCTGGGAATTCTCTCAGCTATGTCACAAAACAGCGGTGTGACCTTAGACAAGTCATTTAACCCTTCGGTTTCTCCAGTTATAAAATTGGTGGTGCAATGAATAGAGTGCTGGGCCTGGAGTCAGGAGGAGCTTAGTTCAAATTCAGCCTCACACACTTACCTGTATGACCCTGGGCAAGTCACTTAATCCTGTTTGTCTCAATGAGAAGGAAAGGGCAAACCGCTCCAGTATCTTTGCCAAGAAAACCCCAAATGAGGTCATGAAGAGTTGGACAAACTCAGCAGCAACAAAGAGTAAGGACCAGCTGACTCCTGCAGACCACCTCTAAAGTTCCCATAATTCCATTCTTGCACGCAATGATTCTGTTCAATTTAATTCAGCAAACATTGAGTGCTGACTATAGTCTACTGCCCTGGACCCTTAGCTACTTACTACTACTACTACCAGCCAGCTAGCTCCTACCACTTGCCCAGGTACTCTGCTAAGCACTCTATAAATATAATCTTTCTCTTTGGCTGTCTCCTATGCCTGGAATGCTTTTTCTCCTCCTCTTTTACAACTGGCCTCCCTGGACTCTTGTTAAGTTTCAACTAAAATCTAACTAAAAACTAACCCTTCTTAATTCCAGTGCTTTCCCTCTGTTAATTATTTCCCATTTATCCTGTAAATAGCCTGCTTTGTACATATCGCTTGCATATTGTCTCGCCTTAGACCGGGAGTTCCTTGAGGGTCCTCTTTGGCCTCTTTTTGTATCCCCAGTGCTTAGCACAGTGCCTGGCACATAGTAGGTGCTTAATAAATGTTTACTGATTGATTTGTTTTGATTGCTCCAACAACCCTGGGAGGGAGGTGCTATTATTATCCTCATTGTACAGTTAAGGAAACTGAGGCAAACAGAGGTGAAGTGACCTGCCCAAGGTCACATGGTAAAGGTCCCAGACCTTTATATATTTTATTAAAATATATATATATATAATATATATATTATATATATATATATGTATATTTTAACTCGGGTCTTTCTGACTAGGTGCACCCTGGGTGTACCCTGACTAGGTATACCTAACACACACAAGAAGTCTCACTCTTCAAGGACCCCACATCCCACTGAACCTTATGAGCAAGCCTCCTGGGCTGAAGTCCTGATCAAGACCAGAACGAAAACCAAAAAACCACCACCACATATAAAGTACTATGGCAGGGAATAGTGGGGAAGTAGTCTTGAGAGGTAAGTAAACCGACATCACTAATGGACTTCAAATGGAGACTGGATGACCACTTGTCAGGAATTTTCAATACGAGGGTTCTTTTTTTTTTAACAATTTTTTTTATTAATCTATTTTGATTTATCAAGAATCACTTCCATAACCTTTTGAGTTTAAAATTTTTCTCCCCCTCTCTCCCCACCTCCCTCCCCAAGATGGCACACAACCTGGTATAGGCTATACATATACATTCCTATTAAACATATTTTCACGTTAGTCATGTTGTAAGTAAGAATTAGAACTAATAGGAGGAACCACAAGAAACAGGAAACAAAACAAAACAGAAGAAAAAATAGCAAATAGTATGCTTGGATCTGCATTCAAACTCCATGGTTCTTTCTTTGGCTGTAGATAGCATTTTCCATCATGAGGCCTTTGGAGATGTCTTAGATCCTTGTATTGCTGGGGAAGGGTTAAGTTTATCAATATTAGTCATTGCATAGTGTGGCTGTTACTGTGTGCAACGTTCTCCTGGTTCTGCTCACTTCACTCAGCCTCAGTCCATACTGATGGTCTTTCCAGGTTTTTCTGAAATCTGCTTGCTCATCATTTCTTAAAGCACAATAGTATCCCATTACATTCATATACCACAACTTGTTCAGCCATTCACCAATTGATGGGCATCCCCTCAATTTCCAATTCTTGGCCACCACAAAAAAGAGCTGCTATAAATATTTTTGTATATGTGGGTCTTTTTCCCATTTTTATTATCTCTTTGAGATATAGCTCTAGAAGTGCTATTGCTGGGTCAAAGGGTATGCACATTTTTATAGCCCTTTGGGCATAGTTCCAAATTGCTCTCCAAAATGGTTGGATCATTTCACAACTCCACCAACAATGCATTAGCGTTCCAATTTTCCCACATCTTCTCCAACATGTATCATTTTCCTGTTTTGTCATGCGTTAGCCAATCTGATAGGTGTGATGTGGTACCTCAGAGTTGTTTTGGTTTGCATTTCTCTAATCAATAGTGATTTAGAGTATTTTTTCATATGACTATAGATGGCTTTAATTTCTTCATCTGAAAACTGCCTGTTCGTATCCTTTGACCATTTATCAATTGGGGAATGACTTGTATTCTTATAAATTTGAATAAGTTCTCTATATATTTTAGAAATGAGGCCCTTATCAGAGACTGGTTGTAAAAATTCTTTCCCATTTTCTGCTTCCTTCTAATCTTAGTTGCATTGGCTTTGTTTGTGCAAAAACTTTTCAATTTAATGTAATCAAAATTATCCATTTTGCATTTCGTCATGTTCTCTATCTCCTGTTTGGTCATAAATTCTTCTGTCCTCCATAAATCTGACAGGTAAACTATTCCTTGTTCTCCTAGTATGCTTATAGTATTAGTCTTCATATCTAAATCACGCACCCATTTTGACTGTATCTTGGTATAAGGAGTAAGATGCTGGTCTATGCCTAGTTTCTGCCATACTATTTTTCAGTTTTCCTCGAAGTTTTTGTCAAATAGTGAGTTCTCATCCCAGAAGCTAAAGTCTTTGGGTTTATCAAATAGTGGATTAGTATAATCATTGACTACTGTGTCTTGCATACTTAACCTATTCCACTGATCCATTACTCTACTGCTTAGCTAGTAGCAAGTAGTTTTGATGACTGCTGCTTTATAATACAATTTAAGACCATGGACGGCTAGGCCACCTTCCCCTGCATTTCTTTTCATTAGTTCCCTTGATATTCTGGACCTTTTGTTGTTCCAAATGAATCTTGTTATTAATTTTTCTAGCTCTATAAAATGATTTTTGGTAGTTTGATTGGTATGGCACTGAATAAGTAAATTAGCTTAGGTAGAATTATAATTTTTATTATATTAGCTCAGCCTACCCATGAGCAACTGATGTTTTCCCAATTATTTAGATCTGACTTTATTTGTGTGAAAAGTGTTTTGTAATTGTGTTCATAGAGTTCTTGGGCTTGTTTTGGGAGGTTATATCTACATTAACTTTAAATAGAATTTCTCTATCTCTTGCTGTTAGGCTTTTTGGGTAATATATATATAGAAATGCCAATGATTTCTGTGGGTTTATTTTATAGCCTGCAACTGTGCTAAAGTTGCTTATTATTTCAAGTAGTTTTTCACTTGATTCTCTAGGATTCACCATCATATCATGTGCAAAGAGTGATAGCTTTGCTTCTTCTTTACCTATTGTAATACTTTCAATTTCTTTTTCTTCTCTTATTAAGCTAGCATTTCCAGTACAATATTGAACAACAGTGATGATAATGGACATCCTTGTTTCATCCCCGATCTTTTTGGAAATGCTTCTAGCTTATCCCCATTACATATAATGCTTGCTGAAGGTTTTAGTTCGATGTTACTTATTACTTCAAGGAAGACTCCATTTATTCCAATGCTTTCTAGTGTTTTTAATAGTAATGGGTGTTGTATTTTGACAAAAGCTTTTTCTGCGTCTATTGAGATAATCATATGGCTTCCGTTAGTTTTGTTGTTGATATGATCAATTATGCTGATAGTTTTCCTAATATTGAACCAGCCCTGCATTCCTGGTATAAATCCTACCTGGTCATAGTGTATTATTCTTGTGATAAGTTGCTGTAATCTATTTGCTAATATTTTATTTAAAATTTTGCATCTATTTTCATTAGGGAAATTGGTCTATAATTTTCTTTCTCTGTTTTGACTCTTCCTGGTTTAGGTATCAGCACCATATTTGTATCATAAAAAGAATTTGGTAAGACTCCTTCTTCACCTATTTTCCCAAATAGTCTATATAGTATTGGAATTAATTGTTCTTTAAATGTTTGATAGAATTCACTTGTAAATCCATCTGGCCCTGGAGATTTTTTCCTAGGGAGTTCATCAATGACTTGTTCAATTTCTTTTTCTGAGATGGGGTTAAGTATTTTACTTCTTCTTATGTTAATCTGGGCAATTTATATTTTTGTAAATATATCCATTTCACTAAGATTGTCAAATTTGTTGGCATACAGTTGGGCAAAAATTCCTAATTATTGTTTTAATTTCCTCTTCTTGGTGGTATTCACCCTTTTCATTTTGATACTAGTAATTTGGTTTTCTTTTTTTTAATTAAATTAACCAAAGGTTTATCTATTTTATTGGTTTTTTCATAAAACCAGCTCTTAGTTTTATTTATTAGTTCAATAGTTTTCTTAATTTCAATTTTATTAATTTCCTTTGGTTTTCAATATTTCTAATTTGGTGTTTATTGAGGATTTTAAATTTGTTCTTTTTCTAGTTTTTTTTAGTTGCATGCCCAATTCATTGATCTCCTCTTTCTCTATTTTATTCATGTAAGCGTTTAGAAATATAAAACTTCCCCTAAGAACTGCTTTTACTGCATCCCATAAGTTTTGGTATGTTGTCTCATTATTGTCATTTTCTTGAATGAAGTTATTGTTTCTATGATTTGTTGTTTGACCAATTTATTCTTTAGGATTAGATTGTTTATTATTTATGATTAGGTTATTATTGTTTCCAATTAATTTTTAGTCTATCTTTCCATGGCCCTTTATTACATATAATTTTTATTACATCATGATCTGAAAAGGATGCATTTAATATTTCTGTATTGGATTGTGAGGTTTTTATGCCCTACCTAGTACATGGTCAATTTTAATACAAGGGATTCTATAAGGAAAAAACATTGCTTTCTTTGAGTCTAGGAGTCAGAAATTATTCCAAGATTGAGATCTAGAAGATGTTAGATTTGGAAGGATGTGCCATTTTGATGGGGGAAATTTGAGCTTTGCTTCTTGCCCCCCATGCTGGGGGAAGGCACAGCTGGAAGGAAAGTATGGAAGTTGTGGAAAGACAGATCAATGGAAGGAAAAACTTCTTAATGTGACACTTGTGGGCTGTGTGTTCACTTGGTGGATCCTTGGAGTGACACTTGGGGTGCTGTGGTAACGGCTTACATCAATTTCTAAACCTCCTTGGTTAAGTCTACAAAAAACCAGTGTACCATTAGATGAGTGTAATATCGGAATTGTCCAACAGGTGGCATTATATTCACTCCATCAGCCAACTGGTCTCATCAGAGTCTCTCTGGCTTGCTCGTGTGAGCTTCTCACCTCCTTGGAGATGCAGGGTTCCAGGTGGCTGAATAAATTAAAACCATTGCTAGCCACGTTCTGGATTTAGAATAAAGAATGATGAAATAATAGCTTTCCAATTTTAAAGTTTTTAAAATAATTTTTAAAACTTTAAAATTGGAAAGCTATTATTTCATCATTCTTTTTTAAGATTTTTAAAGATTTTCAGTTATAAATTTTCTCCCTCCCTCCCCAAGATGGCATGCAATCTGATATAGGCTATACATATACAATCATATTAAACATATTTCCACCTTAGTCATGTTGTGAAAGAAGAATCAAAACAAAAGAAAAACCACGAGAAAGAAAAAACAACCAAAAAAAAAGAGAGAGAATATAGTATACTTTGATCTGGATTCAGACTCCATAGTTCTTTCTCTAGATGTGGCTAGCATTTTCCATCATGAACCTTTTGGAACTGTCTTAGATTGTTGTCCTGCTGAGAAGAGCTAAGTCTATCAAAGTTGGTCATCGCCAAATGTTGCTGTTACTGTGTACAGTGTTCTCCCGCTTCTGCTCACTTCACTCAGCATCAGTTCTTGTAAGACTTTCCAGGTTTTTCTGAAATCTGCCTGTTCATCGTTTCTTATAGAACAATAACATTCCATTACATTCATATACTACAACTTGTTCAGCCATTCCCCAACTGATGGGCATGCCCTCAATTTCCAATTCTTGGCCACCACAAAAAGAGCTGCTATAAATATTTTTGTATATGTGGGTCCTTTTCCCATTTTTGTGATCTTTTTGGGATACAGACCTAGCAGTAGTATTGCTGGGTCAAAGGGTATGCACATTTTTATAGCCCTTTGGGCACAGTTCCAAATTGGTCTCCAGAATAGTTGGATCAGTTTACAACTTCACCAATAATGCATTTAGTGTTCCAATTTTCCCACATCTCCAACATTTATCATTTTCCTTTTTTGTCATATTAGCCAATCTAATAGTTGTGAGGTGGTACCTCAGAGTTGTTTTGATTTGTATTTCTCTAATCAATGGTGATTTAGAGCATTTTTTCATTTGCCTATAGATAGCTTTAATTTCTTCCTCTGAAAACTGTTCACATCCTTTGACCACTTATCACATAATTTTAAAGTACTAAATCTATGGTCTGAATATAGCTCTCTAAAACTGTGACCCCTTCCCTATATCTGACCTCTTCTTTCTTATCAAACCCCAACATTCAACAAACTCAGGCAATCAATATATTGTGGCTTCATAGTTTAAGTACTGAGAAAATAAAAAGAAAAATCGTTCTGTGCTCCCCACGGGGAGCCCTCTCTCTCTACTCAACCCTTGTAGTGACATGGTAGAGTACAAATGAAAACTCCTAGGAATATTATAGCGAAATTCCAGACCTCCTAGATTAAGGATAAAATACAGCAAGCAACCAAAAAGAAACAATTCAAATGTTATGGAGCCACATTCAGGATAACACAAGATTTAGCAGCTTCTACATTAAAGGATCAGAAGATTTGGAATATGATATTCTGGAGGCCAAAAGAGCTAGGATTACAACCAAAAATCACCAACCCTTCAAAACTGAGTATACTCCTTCAGGGGAAAAAAGTTGACATTCAATGAAATAAAAGGACTTTCAAGTATTCCTGATGAAAAGACCAGAACTAAATAGAAAAATTGTTTGTCAAATACAAGATGCAAAAGAAGCATAAAAAGGTAAACAGGAAAAAAATCATAAGGAATTTGATAAGGTTTAAACTGTTTATATTCCTACATGGGAAAATGATATTTATAACTCCTAAAAACTTTCTCATTAGTAGGGCAGTTAGGAGTACATATAGACAGAAAGCAGAGATGTGAGTTGAATGTGATGGTATGATAATTGAAAAAAAAAATTAAGGGTTGAGAAAAAAGAATGCACTGGGAGAATGGGAAAGGGAGATGTAGCATGGGATAAATTATCTGACATAAAAGAGGCCTGAAAGAGATTTTATGGTAGAGGGGGAAATGAGGGAAGCAGGGAGGAGAGCCCATGAACCTTATTCTCATCAGAATTGGATCAAAGAGGGAATAATATACACACTCGAGTACAGAAATCTATCTTAGCATACAGGAAAGTAGGAAGGGAAGGGGATAAAAGAAATGGGGTAGCTGACAGATGGGAGGACAGTTTGAGGGAAGTAAAAGTCAGAAGCAAAACACTTTTAGGACTGGACCAGGGTAAAAGGAGAGAGTAAGATAAACGGGGAAGATAGGATGTAATCATTACTGTGAAAAAAAATTTTTTACAGTGAGTTTCTCTGATAAATATTTCATTTCTCAAACATACAGAAAACGGAGTCAAATTTATAAAAATAAGAGCCATTCCTCAATTGATAAATGGTCAAAAGATATGAACACATAGTTTTCAGAGAAAGTAATCAAAGCTTTCTATAATCATACACAAAAATGCTCTAAATCACTACTGATGAGAGAAATGCAAACTAAAAAAACTCTGAGCTACTAACTCACATTGTCAGATTGGCTAATATGACAGAAAAGGAAAATGAAAAATGTTGGAGGGGATGAGAAAAAATTAAAACATTAATGTACTACTGGTGAAGTTGTATTGTGATTTGAACATTCTGGAGAGCAATTTGAAACTATGCCCAAAGGGCTATAAAACCATGCATATCCTTTGACCTAGCAATACCATTACTAGGTCTGTATCCCAAAAGAGATAAAAACAAAAAGGAAAAGGACCTATATGCACAAAAAATATTTATAGCAGCTCTTTTCTGGTGGCAAAGAATTGGAAGCATAGGGGATGTCTATTAATTGGGGAATGGCTGAATAAAGTGTGGTATATGATTATGATGGAATACTATTGTGCTGTAAGAAATGAAAAACCTGGAAAGATTTATATGAGCTGATGCAAAGTGAAATGCACTGTGTACAAAGTAACAGCAATATTGTAAGATGACAGCTGTGAATGACTTAGCTATTCTCAGCAATGTAACGATCCAAGACAACTCTGAAGGACTTAGGATGAAAAATGCTATCCATTCCCAGACAAAGAACTGACAGTGTCTGAATATAGATGGAAACATACTTTTTTTACTTTATTTTTCTTTAAGTTTTTTTTGGCTCTATGTTTTCTTTCACAACATGACTAATATGGAAATGTTTTGCATGACTACACATGTATAACCTACATGGAATTGCTTGCCTTCTCAACGAGGGAGGGTAGAGAGAAAGAGAATTTGGAACTCAAAGTTTTAAAAAATGAATGTTAAAAATCATTCTTACATGTAAATGGGGAAAAATAAAATAACAAAGAAAAAAAGGAAAAAAAAGAAACCAGTGCTAGAATGACCAGAATCTGAACTATTTACCCATTGTTGCCCTAACAAGATTGACGCATCATGGATGACTAGTTCTTCTGTCTCCCCTGGCCCCCTCCTCAGTTTGGGCAGGGGGAAGAAAGGAGGGAGAAGTTATAATATGGGACTGAGGGTGGGAGAGGCTAACAGGAATGTATCTGGTAGGAAGGTGTACCCGGATTGAAAGATTTTGTAACCTATGCCATCAGTACTTTGTACTTTTTTGTTGCTTTCCCCCATTAATTATGTAGCACCTGGGAACACCTCCCAACTTACAAAAGGATCCCCCAGACACGGTTACTCTGGGGTCAAGGTATCTGATGGGTCCCTATCCTCTCAAAACCATAACTCACACTAGTGTCCCTTTATTGTGTGCCAGAGGACACAATTAATTCAAAGACATTAGTTCAAAAATTAATGACGTTGCAAGAAAAGTAGTTGATTTTCCTATCACCCCCACATGTAATAGGCACATGGAAGGAACACACGTGGGGAATTAGCAAATACCATTTTGTAGTCTGGTGTTCACTTAGAATTTGCCTTTTATGCACAATCATATAAGGTAAAAATCCAGCCAAGAGATTTGAATAAACTCAGAGCGTGTTGTTATTTCAGTCTTTCTGCAGTGGTTATGCACGGGCTTGTCACTTTATAGGAGAATGTCGACTTGAATAAACTCAAGAAGAGGAAAAAATACTTTAAAGAGATAGTTCTGCTCACGCCCCACAAAAAAATGAATGGGAGAGGTAAGCATGTATGAAGGCTCTGTTATTCTCAATGACTCATGTGCCCCCATTTCATTGAAAAAAATCCCCATTTCCTCCTAGATCCTGCTGGTTGTTCACAAATCACTTAAAGCCACTGTTAAACAGTTCAATTAGATGTGTAAAAGCATGGTAATGGCAAAAAAACACTAGATAACTATATCATAGGATCCACTAACCCAGGAACTTCCCATTTCCAATGCTCCCTTTCAGACTATATAGTCCACTTTCACTCTCCTAAGCTGAGAAAAAGACAGCCTAGAAGAGTCGAGTCTTTTAATAAATTTCCCATCTCCAAGTATGCTTGCCATATATACTGGGATTGGAAAGTGCTACAAAGGCTTCTGGTTACTCTGTCGGTCAAGGCTGCATGGGAGAATGCGGTAGCCCATTCCGATTCCACGGTCCCAGTGGCTCCCAATTTCTGGAAACTCCCTGGCATATTGCTTTGGCTCAAGAGAGAGAGAGCATCTCTGCAACACCATCCCCAGAAAGAACTGCTTCTTATATACCTCATAGGCTAAAAATGCTATAGGAAGCCACTCATCAAAAATTTAACACACATAAATCGGGGAAGGGGAGAAGGCAGGAATAGCTGTGTGAAAGCCTTAGCCACCATTTTTTTTCTCTTCCCTTTCTTCAAGTTCCTCCTGCAACCCCTGATGTCTGGTGTCACATCTGCAGTCAAATGAATTTGGGTCATGCTGACACCAAAGCCAACTGTAAAGTGTCTTGGTACTGGCAGTCTCTGTGGAAACAGTGTACCTCAACAAACACACTACGTATTTGAAGAACTGTAAAAATGTAAGCTATGAGCTACACTTACTATTTTTGGATTATATGTCCCTGTTGGGCCAGTTCCAGGACTTTTACCTTCTCTGGCATGACACAGTACCTAGCACAGAGAAGGCACCAAATAAATATTTGATCAATAAAGTGGTAAAATAAAATTATCTTACCAAAACATACCTCGCCAGAAACATGCTTATTTGCAACATAAAATGGGAAGTGTGACTATAAGCTTCCTTTTTTTTATATCAGCTAATTTTTGCATGATTTAAAGTAGGGTCTGGGTCTTCTTTTAGAAGCTCCAAACTATAACTAGGGGAGCTCATGCAAAGTCAGTGAGGGCCCCCAAATCTACTTTCATTGCAAACCTTCCCCCACTGTGGTTCTTTCCCCTTTTCTTTCCTTCCCACCCTTCTTTCCCACTTCATCTCATTCATTTATTCAACATTTAGTGAGAGACACACTGCCCTTTTTTGTAAGGCCCTGACGGGAGCTGGGAGATGCAAAGATTACCTTGTCACTGTCCAAATGAGACTCAGAGTCTGGTAGGGAATACATAACATGTTTACAATTAGAATGTAAGAGAACATGTAATAAGATGCCATATAAACAGAGGCAACATGGGCAATGGAAAAAATGTTGCATTTGGAGTCAGGGGCCTGAGCTGCCAAGTCCAGCCCTGCCATTTACTAACACAATCAAAGCCATAACCTCTTGGGCCTCAGTTTCCTCATCTGTAAAATTGAGGAGTTAGAGCACTTCTAAGATCCCTTCCAACTCTAAATGTACGATCCTGTATAAGGAAAATGGTTCCACAGCTTGAGGAAGGGTGGTGGGTGTATATGTTCTGCCAATAACTCCCTGTGTGACCTTTCAAGCCCTCTCTGGACCTCCTGCATATGGTGGATGGGAAGGGTGAAGACCTGGACCAGGTGGTTTGAGGTCCTCTCCTCCTCTGACTTTTTGCACTTGATCAGGGAAGGCTTTGCAGAAGACTTATTTAATGATTTCTGAAAAAATTTTAAGCCCAGCCTTCATCAGCTGGTACCCTGGGAAGATGGGACGGAGGCTTTTCCCCCTGCTCCCACTGGAAAGGACCTCCAACTCTATCATTTACAGAGGAAGAAACTGGAGCAAGGAGAGCTGAAGCTACTTGTCCAGGGTCATACGGCTAATAAGAGACTGGGGAGGGATTTGAACCCTTGCCCTAGGAGCACCACAACACGCCTCCGGGTCAAATTTCTTCTGAGGGATTCCATGAGGTCACTGTGGGGATCCAGAGCAGCGCGCGGGGCCAAGCCGGGGGAAAGGTGGCGCGCGTGCGCGCCCATTGGCCCCAGCTCTCTCGCGGGCCGCGAGCCAGCCTCCCGCCCATCTCTGCCTCTTCACCTCCAGTGCACGTCGCTTCCCCGCCACCTGTCAGCACCCCTTCTACAACTAACCTTTACGCCCCACCCCCGTCTCCTTCCGTCTCCTGGGCTGCACCCAGTGCGCAGACTTACGCTTCCCGGCCCCGCCTCCTTCGTGCCCCGCCCCCTCCGTTCCTCCCTCCCTTCCGGGGCTAGGGAGCCTCCCATCCTGGAGCGGCGCTTGAAGCCAAGTTGCTGCGGCCTGGGATGTGCGAGCGCTCGGGTAAGTGAGGGGATGCCCGGGACGGTGGCCTGCGAGGGACACTCTCCAGGAGACTTCTTCCATTGCAGAGAGCAGGGAGGGGCCGTATTCCTCTCGGCTGGCCGCGGGGAGGGAGCGGGGGTGGGGCGGCGATGGGTCTGTGGGGGCTCCGGCCTACGTGGAGCCGGCTCGCGGCCCAGATCCGAGCTCGCGTGGGGGAAGAAAGAAACTCCTGGGCCGAGAGGAAGGACGGGGCTGGAGCCTCCGAGCAAAGGTCCCCCGAGGCGGCTATGGGGCCCTGAACCCGAGGACATCCACGCCCCTTTCCCCGGGCCACCCCCGCCTGCCTCATCCTCCCCTCCCTGGCTGCGTCCTCACCCTTCTACCCTCTTCTTCCCCTCCTTCCCTCTTTTCCCCTCTCCCCCACTTCCCCCTCCTTTCCCTTTCCCCCTTCTTTCCACCTCTCTTTTTCCCTATCTCTTTCCTTTCCCCTCCTCTCCCTCCTTTCCTTCTTCCTCTCCTCTCCCTCCCTTCCCCTTCTTTCCTTCTCCTTCCTTTCCCCTCCCCTCCCTCCTTTCCCCTTTTTTCCTTCTTCCTTTCCCCTCCCCTCCCTCCTTTCCCTCCTCTTTCCTTCTTCCTTTTCTCTCCTCTCCCCTTTTTCTCTTATTCTTTTCCCTCCTCTTTCCCTCCTTTCCACTTCTCCTTTCCCCCTCCACTCCCACATTCCTTTATCCTCATCCACATTCCCCAGCCTCTTCCTCTTTCCTTTATCTCTCTCTCTTCCCCAACCCCATCCACGGGGGTGCCCCAGCAGCTTCTTTCCACAGTGGGGACTTTGGTGCTCTTAGACTCCCAGGGAAGAGCTCAGGGTTTGGAATCAGGATCTGAGTTGAAATCCTGTCTTTTCTATGTGGCCATGAGCAAATCACTTTTTTCCTACTGTGGCCCCTAGTTTTCTGATCTGTAAAACAAAGTGACAGGTTGGAAGTGGTAGTCTTATTTGAGATTTCTTCCAGCTCTACATCCTGTTTTCCGTGAACAAACAGGGGCAACTCACTCCTCTTTGCTCTTTTCTGGGAATAAGAGTACCACATTGTTCTTGTCCTTGAGGATCTCACAGTCTGATAAGAGGTGAGGGTAGAAGATGAGGTATGTAGTCAAAATAAATACATTAAAACATAGTTACTGTTGTAGTAATAGGATAAAGGCAGAGGGAGGGCCAGGCAAGGTGCTATGAGAAATTTAAAGGATAATCCTTTTATTCCTGCACAGTGGTGTTGTGAAAGGGAAAAAACATTTTAAGCCTTAAAACCCTACAGAAATGTGATGCTATTATTCATGGTCCTAGAGTCAGGAAGCCTAAGTTCAGATCTATTCATCTAACTGCAGATCTTTGTCTGGACAATAGGCATATTCAATTGGTAGTTTCCCTTCCCCCTCCTGAAATTATTATATTTGTTCTATTTTTTCCATGTCTTTGGTATCCAGAGTACCTGGCACTTTTTTTTTTTAAGTAGGTAGGGAGAGTGGAGTATCTGGAACTATGATTTCTTCCCCACAGGGAATTGCCGGTGTGTGAAGCCAGTTTTCCATCTGCTACTCCAGAGTCTCTCTCTGTCCCCTCGCCCATCACAAAGCTCCCTCAAGGAGCTTACATTCAATAGAAATAATATGTCTGTATATTAGTATCTACAGAATAAATAGAAGGTAATTCCCACAAAGATCTCATGTAGGAGATGATCTTGATTTGAGCAGATCTTTGAAGAAATCTGGGGATTCTGGAGCATGGAAATGAGGAATTGCATTCCAGGCAAGGCTCAGAGATGAAAAGATGTCATGTCTTTTGAGGAACAGATAGAAATTTAGTCTGGCTGGACTGAAGAGGGTGTGAAGGGGAGTAATGTACAAGATTGGAAAGGTAAGTTAGCATTAGGCTGTGAAGGACAAAAATTGAACACAGGTCTTTCTGGCTCCCAGGAAGGAGCCTAGACTGAGCTGCCTCTCCTCTGGCACTTGGCAGTTTTGAATAAACGCTTGTTCAATGAGCGGTGACACTTAGTAGCTTTTGTGACCATCTTCAGATTACTTCATCTCTGTAAAAGTCAAGAGATAACTTGTAATATCTACCTTACAGATTTTTTGAGGGAATGGGGTAGGGTAGATAGGCAGTGCTATGTGGACCTTATGGTTTATTATTAATTGGGAGCCCAAACCCTAAGGGAGCCAGAAACATACATACTCAGTCCACTAAACCTGAATTTCCAGTATACTGCAATAGTTATTTTTCTTGCCAAAGTACTTAAAAACCCCCACCCCATTAATAGAGCTAGATAGTCTCTCTTCTCTTTCCTTTCTCTTTTTTTCATTTTCTTCCTTTTCTTTCCTCTCCTCTTTCTCCTTTTTCTCTTTTCTTTCCTTTTTTCTTTCTCCTCTCTTTCTCTTCTCTCTATATCTTTTCTCCATTATCTGTCTTTATCTCTCCAACTTCCTCCCTCCCTTCTCTACTCCCCCTTCCCCCATCAGTAAAAGGAATTTTTTCGCTTTGGAGTTCACTATGCTAATGAAATAATAGATCCAGTCCCTATCCATCTATATCTTTAAAGCTCTTCATTTTCTAAAACCATCTGCCTGGATCATCTGGATGGTCCCTGAACAAGACTATACTGTTTAGTTCCAATTAAACTATGTGTTTTCTAAAACTACATCAGATCATTTGCGTGTTTCCCTGAATAAAGGTATATTTGGTACAGTTTGAGGCTCCAGCGCCTATATACTTGAAAACCCAAGGATGTACATATATACTAACAGGTTCTATCTGCACAACCCTGGTCTGAGAACTGTTAGCTAATACAGAACTGTTACCAGAGAGGTGTGGCCCAGAACATGTCTGACTTTGCTATGAAGCAGGCCTCAGCATGGTGCCCATCCGTCTGCCTCGGGGCAGGATTGAGGAAAGCTTGCCTCCTGGTAACCATTCTGATGAGCTAACAATGCAGTGGCTGGCAGAGCAGTGCCCCAGTTAGGGTAGTTAGAGCCTTTTTAAAATAACAGCAAGATGGTACAGTGGATAGAGCACCGGCCCAGAAGTCGGGAGGATCTGAGTTCAAATACAGCCTCAGACCTAACACTTACTAACTGTGTGACCCTGGGCAAGTCACTTAACCCCAATTGCCTTAAAAAAAAATAATAACAGCAAGAGAGCTAGGAAGCCAGACCTGCCCCCCCCTTCTCTTCTGACCCCTAGTCAGGTAAATAGATAGAGCAGAGGTGGATGGGAGTAGGTAGGCAAGAGCTGGCACAATTGAGCATCCGAGGCAGAAGACCTGGATTCTCATCTCTGACTCTGCCACCAATATGCTCTATCATGTTGGACAAGTTACTTCACCTCTCATCTTTAGTTTCCTCATCTGTGAAGTGGGGATAATGATATCTCACAATCAAATTAGGTAATATATATGAAAATATGAAAAGTCACTGTAATATTGCAGCAGAAGTGCTGGATTTCAAGTCTGAGGACCTGGTTTTGAATCCTAACTCTGTTATTT